TAATAATAATAATAATAATAATAATAAATAAGAGCAACCTTAAAATTTGAATGACTCAAAGGGAGACTTTTCCCGTGTTAATTTTACTTTTACCCTAAAACTGAAGGACATGAACAGTGAACACAAAGCCAACAATACCACTGTGTGGCTTTAGGCAAGTTAATTTTCTATCTCAGTATTTTAACCTATTTGTTAATGCTAAAATAATACCTCCTTTCTATTGTAAGAATTAAATGTGCTGGGCTCATGAGATGGCTCAGTGGGTAAAGGAGCTTGCCACCGCCTGAGGACCTGGATGACCCACATGGTGAATGGACAAACTGATTGCCATATTTGTTTTCTGATCTCCACACACATCCCTGACATGTATACACACACACACACACACACACACACACACACACACACACACAAAGTGTAAAAAAAATTATAAGAATTAAATATGCTAGTGTATACTCAGTATTAAGTCAAGAACCTGAACAAACACTATGTGATTTTCTGCTTTCATTCTTACTGCTCACGTGTCATTCTTTGGAGGCGTTTGGTGATGATAAAGAGCAAAGAAGGGCAGTTAAGGGAAAGGTGACATATATTGACTCATAGATTGGAGGAAATCAGTGATAAGAGAATGAAGGAGGGAAGAGCTGTGGGCACATGACCAGCACCTTGCTCCTATCGGCTGCCTGCTTTAATAAATAACTCTCTTTCACTTGTCAACAGCTAATCAAGAAATTTCTGGAGGCCCAGAAGTGTCTTGCTGGGTTAAACAGAGTGCCTCCTCCATAGCTGAAAATATTCTAATCCTTTTTCTTTTTGTAATTTTTTTATTTCTTCATTTTTATCTTTGTGTATGACTGTTATGCCTGCATGTGTGTAAGGACACCCAAGTCGTGTAGTGCCCTCAGAGGACAGAAAAGGGCATTGGATCCCCTGGAACTGGTATTATGAATGTTGTTAGCTGCCATGTGGGTGCTGGGATTCAAACCTGGGTCTTTTCCCAGAACTTTTAACTACTGAGCCATCTCTCCAGGCCCTCATTTTGTAGTTTTTGAGAAATTCATGTGTATTGTCTTTGCACTATTTCCATCTCTCAGTACCCCTCCCCCACTCCTCCTATGTCCCCTCACTCCCTTTCAATCTAATTCTTTTTCTTTAATGTAATACTACACCTAAAAGAACCCCCAAACGAAATAAGACTACCTCCTAGAAACACACTATCCAATGTCATTAGTGACACCTCCTGATAGTTAATGGTCATTCCCAGCTTCAACCCAGGACCTGTTATATTAGTGTTGGTCAGAAAATGGGATTTTCCAGAGTTCAGAATCATCACTATCGAGTCAGGGACTTTTTTACCATTTTATTATTATTATTATTATTATTATTATTATTATTAAGAAGGAAAAAATGTGATACAATGTAAGTATTGCATGTAGGGATTAGTGCCCTGCTGGGTGATTTTCTCACAAGAGTGCGGATTTTAAAAGCTTTCCTAAGAATTAAAATGCTCCACATGACAATTTAGTCTTGTTTCTGGCTTTTCTTTCCAGGAGGCTAATCAGTACAACTTCATTCTGCATTTGATTCAATTCTATTGTTACCCTTCATTTTCAGAGAGACTTAACCTAGCTATTCTGTCAGACCCAATAAGGCTGCCACCATCTTTCCCAGATGGAGGGATGGATGGATGCTAGCTTTCAACAACTGCTGGTAAAAACCAAGTCAACAGCTGGCCAGCTGTGAGGACAAGTGTGAAAATAGCAGACGGGCTGTCGGAATCATCGCAGCAGTTAGAAGCTCCAGAGGGCAGGTTATTGTAGCAGAAGACCAGCTGTTCCTTTGGAAGTCTAAGACTGCCATGCCTCAGGAAGATGGGGCAGAATGAACCATTGTAATTCTGGCAACAGGCACTCCCCATCTATGGATTTTAACACACATTGCCACTACCCCACCCCTCAAATAGATGAAGGGTTTTGTTTTATCTCTACCCATCCATCCCATTTATTTTAAAAAATATTTTATTTATTATTTTTATTTTATGTGTATGAGTATATTGCCTGCATGCGTGTAAGTGTGCCTGTGTTGTGCAATGCCCACGGAGGTCAGAAGAGGGCATCACATCCCTGGAACTGGAGTTATGAATGGTTGTTAGCCACCACGTGGGTGCGAGTCCAAGTCCTCTGCAAGAGCAATCAGTGCTCTTAACCTCTGAGCCATCTCTCCAGCCCCCATCCATCCCATTTGTAACAGATAAGGGCTAAAAAAAACATAACCACAAGAGCATAAATGTAATAAATGAAATCAATAATAACTGAAATATCATCTAATACTCAGTCCATGTTCAGTTTTCTCTGGCTATCTCAAAATTGTTTTGAAAATATGGATTGTGCAAATCACAAATCTTAGCAACTAGTAATATGCCCACAATGTATTTGGTTAGTATGCTTCTTTATTTCATAGTCACAGGATTTTTTATATCTTCATTTATCTTTCTAATTCTTGTGCATCAATGTATGTATTTATGCATGTATTGAATAGATAATGCTTGCTGCAAACAGTACCAAAAAATACAGAGTGAAATGTCCTTTAGTCTCTCTCCAGAAACAATGCTATCTGCCTTATTGTTTTATTGCTATCCTTTTGAAATCATCGTCATGCCAGTCTCTGAGGCTGCAGCAGCACAATGGGTCAGAGTGAGGACTTGAATTCAAATCCCTATCCTGCCAAATCCATTTGGAGCAGAGGGGAGAGAGAGAGAGAGAGAGAGAGAGAGAGAGAGAGAGAGAGAGAGAGAGAGAGAGAACATACATGTGGACACCAGAAGAGAATGCCAAATGTCTTTGTCTTTTGCTTTCTGCCTTATTTCTTTAAGACAGACTTTTCCTCCTGAACCCAGAACCCAGCATTTCGACTAGCCTGGTTGGCCAGTGAACTCTTGGGATCTGCCTGATTCTGTTCGTCAATGCTGGGGTTACAGGTGTAGACAGCTATGCCCTGCTTTTTACATAGGTACTGGGAATTCAAACTCAGGTGCTCATGCTTGCAGGGCAAATGCTCTTATCCACTGAACTATCTCCTCAGCCCCCTGTGTCTCCGTTTTTTAATAATATACCCATCTCATGGTGTTGAGAGAATTCAATCTGGTGAGGAAAGTGCTTAATTATTATAGACACAGCCATTTGGCTTTTCCAAATGGAAGAATGTACATTTCTCTCTGTGGATTTTTCATCAACAGCACATTTCAATGACAATTCCACATCTGTTCTTATAGATTTGCTTCATTTTCTGTAATTATTGACTAAGATTCCATGGTATGGGACAGTATACACTATTGCTAGACATGCAAGTTATTTCTAAACTTTTATTACCAAAAATGCTACAATGGATATAGTCATAATACTTTATTGCATTGATAAACAAAAATATTCAGAGGATAAATTCCTGGAAGTTAAGTCAGGAGTTAAAGGGTATAGATATTTCAATGACTTATAGATATTGCCTGATGCCTCAAGGAAATTTTACCAATTTTTACCTCCACAGAAAGGGCACAAGGGCACCTTTCCCTATACCCTCTCTAACCTGGAATATTGCTAAATGTTTTGGTCTTTGTAGACACACTTTGTAGAAAGTGGCTTTTCAGTGTTTTCATGTGTATTTTCCTTATCATAAGAAGATAAAGGCGAACTGGAGAGCTGGCTCAGTGATTAAGAGTACTTGCTGCTCTTGCAGAGTACCAGCACTCTCATCAGGTGGCTCACGATCACTTGTAACTCTACTTCCAGAGGATCTGATGCTCTCTTCTGGCCTCTATGGGTACTGCACACATGTGGTACATATATATACATGCAGGCAAACACTCATACACATGATATAAAAACAAGCAAAATTTTAAAATATGGTTTGACTTAAAAGACATATATACAAAAATACATATATGTGGTACACATACACACCAAGATAAAGGAAACCATGCAACTGAGCTTCAGCAGTTAAATGATCTAATTACTACTGGGGAGAACTGAGGGAAGAAACTACCTCTTAAAGTGGAAATGGCACATGTTTAACAGAGACATCAACAGGGACCACCTTTGGAAAAAGCAATCCATTTATCTGCTTACTTACTTGCTGGTTGTCTGTACCCTCTCATTATGTTATAAGCTCTGTGGAAGACAACTAGGCCATTCTCTATCTTGTTTTGTGGCTCCACGTCCATCACCCAGGACAGTAGCTGGAACCTAGTAGGCACTGAGTCAATAAATTAACCACTGATTAAATGCTTGGGAAACTAAAATGGATAAAGCTATACTTCCTCATATTGGTCCTCCAGATATGCTGAAAGCAAGATGCTGATGCCGCAGTGATAAGCCCTGCATCTATGAAGTTTTTCATTTCCTTTGCAGACAAGAAAACCTGCCATGAACACAAAATCTAGAAATAGATTTGACATGTTCACTTAATGAAAAAATATTTCTTGTAGCACCATAAATTATTTTCCCACAGCTTTGTGCTACATCAAAGTATTGAAGTTGACTGAAAATACTCCATTCTCTAATATTGGTGTGGGCTAGAAACCGTTTTTATATTGTAACAAAGGCAATGTAAAAACCTTTGTAATGTTTTAATTCCCCCAGATGTCCCCAAATTTAAACTGTTATTATAAATTAAGATAGATTGTAAAAAACTGATTAGTGAGAAATGTGATTAACAGTTTGGTTATCAGAATGCACAGTTCTAAGTTGTAAAACCAGCACTTGTTTAAGAAATTACCTATGATCCAGGGCAGAAACTTTCCCCATTGCCGTGTTTTACTAATGAATCCTGTGAAATGATCCTATCTTTAAAGCTTTCTGTAAACTTGTGCTCGTTGGTAAGTAAGACTGTATTCATCAAAGGGATTTTTGGTGATTTTTGAAACCATGAATAGAAGAGGGACTTAAGTTTTAAGTTATACTCACAGGCTACTGATAATGAAATTCCTCTAATGCTTCATGTATCTCCAGTTTTCCCAGATTTACTCAGAGCGATCCCGGTGAGCATCCACGTCAATATCATTCTCTTCGCCACAATTCTTGTTGTCTTAACCATGGTGGGGACAGCCTTCTTCATGTACAATGCTTTCGGCAAACCCTTTGAAACGCTGCATGGCCCAATGGGGTTGTATCTGTCGAGCTTCATTTCAGGTAAGTATAAAATTCCACCTCCAAAGATACATGTTTTTCAATGTGTCCAAAGATGCTTTACCTAAATATAGTTATAGTATATATCCATCAATACTCCCTATAGCATTATACCTGAAGGAGAAAAGTAGAGAAATAGTAGAATCATCTAATAATGTAAAATTCATTATATAGAGTGCAGTAGTCTGTATGAATGACTATGATCGTCACATTATAGTTTTGAAGATACAATCAAAGGATAAATGCTTATATCAGAATGTTAGCTGAGCCAGGCGTGGTGGCGCACGCCTTTAGTCCCAGCACTTGGGAGGCAGAGGCAGGTGGATCTTTGTGAGATGGAGGCCAGCCTGGTCTACAGAACAAGTTCCAGGCCAACTGGGACTACAGGGAGACCCTGTTTCAAAAAATAAGTTAACTGAAAATAGAAGTGAGATTTTTTAAGACCTTATAAATCTGTTGGATTATAAATGCAGAGAATGTACATATAAAATATTGATGGAATAGCTTACATACATATATATACTCTATATGCATACACACACATATATAAAGGCTATATTTATGTTTGGTGAGAGAGACAGAGAGAAAGAGATAGGGAGAAAGAAAGATTCATTTGTTGGTTGTAATGGTCTCTGAGTACTGAAACTCTGGATGATTTTAATTTTTGCTCATGGTTATCAATATTTCTAAATGTTCAATATTTATTCATAATCAGAAAAATGAACAAATTTCATCATAAAAAGAATAAGGGATCACAGAGTTGGAGAGATGGCTCAGTGTTTAAGAGTACTGGTTGCTCTTCCAGAAGACCGGGGTTTGGTTTCCAGCACCCACATGGCAAACATCTGTTAACTCCAGTTCCAAGGGATCTGATGCCCTCTTCTGGCCTCTGTGGGCATTGCATGACACATGCACATACACACACAAAACATTCATATACATAAAAATAAATAAAAAAAAATTTTTGGTCCTTTGAAGACAGGGTCTCCCTGTAGCCCCAGCTGACATGGAACTTGCTATGTAAAACAGGCTGGCCTCGAGCTCACGGAGATCTGCCTTCCTCTGTCTCCCAAGTTCTGGTATTAAAGGCATGTGTAAATCAAAAACGCAGCATAAATCAAATTTTTAAAGAATAAAGGATCAATGTTTCACCCATAGACAAGTGATCACATTCAAGACTGTAGGTACTTTAGTAGCCTAATGCTAGTTACATCTAGATAAGGATAAACTCTCAGCCCAGAAATCAGTGCATTGGTAAACATATAACCAGCACTGATGGAAAACAATGCAAAACCAGCCAGTGCCACAAAGTGCTTATAATACTGTGTTTTTGCAAGGAGTTAGAGAGATGAGAAAATGAAATACATATACATAATTCATGTGTGTCTATCCTTCTATAGGAGGTCTCTGATTTTACCCCATTGCAAACTTCAAATCAGTTCAACATTTTATCATACTCTTCAGCAACAAATAATTTTATTGATGATTTCATGGAGAGATTACAGCTCCCATCTGCCAACAATCTAATGAAAGTCCCTGTTGGACATTTCTTTCTCCTTTGAAGTTGCCCTTCGGCAGTTAGGTCTGAGGCAGCCAGTACAGGCTCCATTTTCCTACTAACCCTACTCCCTTCTCCCATATGACCCAGTCCTAGCACCAACTTGTATAGGTGCCTACCTTGCAAACAGAGCCCTGTAGTTAACAGGCTCTAATGGGTCTCAGAAGGCAGTGTACTCATTTCTTATGTGCACTCCTTGGGGTCTCCCCACCTACATCTCGCTAACCCAATTATTCACCCAACCAAAGCAGATCTCTCTCCAGTGGGAATTCTGCTAATATTCTCCCCATGTCTTTCACATGCATATAATTCAACTTTAAATTGTGCAGTAATGAGGGCAGTCTAGGACTTTCTCATCTATTTCTGACATGAAGTTCTGCACACATGAAATAATGCATGTTTGTTGACTTGAGAAAGTAAGCCCAGAAAAGTGATGCTGGCTCAATTGCCTAGACGCCACAGGTAAGAGAAATCGGGACCCTACTGGGATGAAATTAGCAGAGCAGCTTACAGAGGCAGGAGGACCTGTACCAGAAGAATGGGAAGGAGGGTGTTCCAGGCCCAAGACTTGGAATCAGAGTAGAAGGGGTCCAGGACCAGGGTGGAACAGACAGGCCAAGAAAGCAAGCCACACAACCTCACCAGAAAGTCAAGGGTAGAACATTTGGGGTTATGTCTCCCTACTAAACATCCAAAGCCAAACTGGTAAATGGCCAGTTGATTCCATCAGGGTTAAGAAAGAAAGCAAGATACACATGATTTCAACTGAGATTTGAAGTAGGGAAGTGGTGTCTCAGGTGGGGTCCCCAGGTGAGCAGCACTGTCATCATCTGGGAACTTGTTAGCAAAGCAAATTCTGAAGTCAGGGCCCCAGAGGGACTGAATGGGAGAAGCACCTGTGCTTTCTTGCCCCTCCCTCCTTGCTTCTGACCCAAGCTCTAGGAGGGAGCTACAGAGGCTTCTGACCCAAGCTCTAGGAGGGAGCTACAGAGGCTTGACTCAGCAGGGGTTGGAGGACTGATGAAGCACAGAGGAGACCCAAGGTCTCTCAGAGAAGCTAGTACCTGGAAGCAGCTCACATTTCTGTGGCTTGGGGAACAAATTAAAGAATTCCGCCTTAATTCACTTGACCTAGAAGCCTGAGGAGAGGCTCTGCGTTCACTGGATCTCGAAGCTCGAGGGGTTGGCGCTGTCCCTCTTCTGAACCTTATCAGGGGTTCTGTTAGGATGGAAAGGAGTGGAAAGCTGGCGCTCTCTTGGCTGTCCTGGTTGGAGCTACTAGAAGGTTTGGGAACCGCCCCGCCAAGTGCTCACATTTGGCAGAGCCTAACAGAAAACAGCTGACAAGGCAAAAGTAGTTTGGAGACCCCGACCAGCATCTCAAGGCAGAGGAAAGAAAAGCTGGTTTGTACGTAAGATAACCTCAGTTATTAACTGACTCAGCCACCCAGTGTTCTACCTCTGAGTGAAATGCAGAACAGCCCATTTGGAGACAAATTATTTGACAGTTCTGACAGCCAACCTAACTAATGGTATCTGAAAAGCAAGATGACTCAGAAAATACAGGATTTAATCCAAGTCCCAGATCTTATCTTGGCCTTTGACCAAGTCTGATGCAAGGAGAACCTGGGCACACAAATACACGAGGAACAATCAGGCATTGTGCTTATTCTATATCTTAATTCATCTTGAACTTGTGAAAACAAGTGCTTGAGGGCTGGAGAGATGGCTCGGCAGTTAAGAGCACTGACTGCTCTTGCAGAGGACCCAGGTTTGATTCCCAGCAATCACATGGCAGCTACGAACTGTCCTTAACTCCAGTTCCAGGGGAATCTGAAGCCCTCTTCTGACCTCTGTGGCATTGCACAACACTGGTGCACTCACATACATGCAGGCAATATACAGATACACATAAAATAAAAATAATAAAATATTTTTTAAAAGGTGCTTGATAAAGGGTTCTGATTTGAAAGGGAAGGAAGGAACTAGATCCAGAGCAATGCCTTGCTCAGGATGACGACCTAGTGTTTGCAGAGCATGCTGGCTTCTTAAACTCTCCATCCCTGATTTTCAGTAATTTAAAAGAAACTGTGTATGACAGTGAGATGTTTGAAGATCAGATGGACTAAGAACTTGCAGCCTCTAGGGGTAAACAGGTCAGTCTCTTCAATTCCACATGTGGAACCTAGGAGCTCCTGAATTTGGGGAAATGTTAAGTGAAATTTTTAGTATGCATGCAGACTCTGGCTTTAAATCCTGACTGCAGGGGCAAGATTTTAGTGTTTTATCACAAACCCTCTAAATATGAGTCAACACATTATACATTGAGAGGCCAGTGACAGTATTTGAGGTCATTAATTTTAGGTGAATCACATTCCATTAGAACCCAGGGGCTTCTCTCTCACCATTGTGCCGTGCTCAGGTGGCTGTGCTCACGGTCCACAGAAAAAAGCTGCTGACCTTCCTTTCTGGACCTCCTCTTTTTCTCCACCCCACTCACCTCCAGCTTCCCTCCCTGCCCACCGTTTCGTACTGAAGTCACGCTGGGGTCGTTTTTCAGATGTCCACCTCCCCATTAGTTGGGACTCACACCTTGGTATCCTGAACACTGAGAAAAGGACAGAGGAAAAAGGATGTCTTCCCACTGCTCTATCTGGAGCTCGCCAGCTCCTCAGAATAAAAATGCTTTGGGCATGTCCTTATGTCTCCTGGGTGTTGTGTGACAGTCCCTGGAGGCAGAAAAAGAGAGACCACACCCACTGGATCTGCAGGACTGCCGCAGTCACCGCAACTTGCTTGCACTTACCATCCAAGATCCTGTGGTTCTCCGGCTTTCTCTGTATAATATTTCCGGACACTATCATTATGTCAAGCCAGTTAATTTGCTCTCTCCTCTAGTGACCTACAAACTAGTTTTAAGACATCTTTTCCCAGTGCTGAAGAGATGGTCCAGTAAGAACCCAGCTTTGGTTCCCAGCACCCACATGGCCCAGGACAAAGGGCCATAACTCCAGTTTCGGGGGATCTGATGCCCTCTTCTGGTTTCTATGGGCATTGCATGTCACAGGTACACTTACATGCAGGCAAATACTCAAATTAGAATTAAAAAAAAATTTAAAGTCTTTTCTCCAATGTAGGATTGAGTTAATACCTTAATGCACCCGCCCCTCCCCCAGCTCATTTTGGGCAGTGATTCCACGCACACGCCCAATCTGTACATAAGAATTCCTTCAGCTGGGCATGTTGGTGCATACCTTTAATCCCAGGATTGGGGAGACAGAGCAAGGCCAGCCTAGTCTACATACCAAGTTCCAGGCCAGAAGGGGCTACAGGAGGACACTGTCTCAAAAAACAGAGAGAGAGAGAGAGAGAGAGAGAGAGAGAGAGAGAGAGAGAGAGGAGAGAGAGAGCCTGAAGAGTTTTCTAAATCTGATGCCAGGTCCCA